GAGCACCCGAGACATCTTTTCAGTTTGCTCGGGAACGAGGCTCTCGCTCGAGACTTCCTCGGGATTATCACCATCCCTTCCCGCGACCGTCTCGATCGAAATTGCTGCGACATCCGACTTGTTTTTCTTCTGCAATTTTTTCCCCTCGCAATTTCCGGAGTCAAGAGGATCCGAAGTCTGGAGTCAAGTCGCGACAGGAGAATCAGCTCCCAGTATCCCGATGGCCGCCTCGAGTTATCAACATGGAAGCGGACCCCATAGGGAGAGGGCCCCCGCTCGACCCTCTCTCGCGATCGCCTCGCAGACCGCAGACCAGGCTCCCGCTCGAGACATCCTCTCAGTGTGCTTGGGAACGGGGCTCCCGCTCGGTTTCAAGCTCCCAGGTTTCACTAAGCCTGTTGATATTGGGTTTCCCAATGGCCGCCTCGGATTACCAACATGGAGGTAGGGGCCCCCCCATAGGGAGAGGCTCCCGCTCGAGACGTCCTCACGATTCACTCACAGACGAGTGAGTGCCCGAGACATCCTGCCAGTTTGCTCAGGAACGGGGATCCCGCGTAAGACTTTCTCGGAATTGAGGCCCCCAGGTGTCACCAAACCTGTATGTTGTACTAAGTTTTTTGACGGCCGCCTCGGATTCGAACATGATGGTGAGAGGTTCCCTTACAGACGAGTGGTTGCCCGAGACATCCTCTCAGCTTGTTCAGGAAAGGAGCTCCCGCTGGAGAGTTCCTCAAGATTCAAGCCCCCACGCGTCACCAAATTATTGGTTGTACAAAAAGTTGTCCAAAGGCCGCGCCAGACTCGAAAATGGATGTGGGGATCCCGTAGGGAGGAGCTCGTGTCGAGACTTCCTCGCGATTCACTCACAGACGAGGCTCCCGCTCGAGACGTCCTCAAAGCGAGTGTGCGAGTGTGTGAGTGAGCGTGTGTGGTGGTGATGATCGGATGAAGGTTGTCGACGATCACGCCGTCATGGCGCTGGTGATGAAAGTGGTGCTGCAGATGACGATGATGTTGATGATGCTGATGGTGGTGACAAGGAAGATGATGATGGTGAAGGCAATTGTGATGGTGCAGTGATGTGGGTGATAGTGAAGATGACGATGGCGATGGTGATGATGCTGAGTGTGAATATGTGAGTGAGTCAGCGAGTGCGTCTGATGATGAGCAAGGGTGGTGAAGGTGTGGGGAGGGGAGGACAGACGGGGCGAGTGAGTGATGAGGATGGTGATGGTAACAAGGATGATGGTGTGTGTGTGTGCGGGGGGGGAGTTATTGTTCCTGCGCGGGGTGTCCAAAGAAACCATGGAATGAAGCCCACTTATGATGTGGGAAGCTGACTAGGATGAAACATCCAGTCCCGAGGATTTGGTCTAGACCTCTGAAGGTCCACGTCGTGAACCAAATTATGGCGTCGGGGATCTGGTGAAGGAGGTTGCGGGAAATGGGTGCTGCAAGTGGCAAGTGTTCTGGTAATGTGAGCGGCCTTTGGAGAGGAGGAACGGGAGCAGGACGAAGGAACGAGGATGGGAAGATAGAGGAAGGAGGGAAGAGGAAAGAGAAGACGAGGATTGTTGCTTGCTTCTATCACTTATCCCTCTCGAGTGCCTCTCCCCCTTCGCGTTCATCTTGAGTTCATGGCGGGGAAAACTGGGTTGCACATGGCCGTGGCTTCAACAGCCACGATCGAACACATCCTGCAAGCGCACAGGCCCAGATGCGCATGAAAGTTTAGGCGGGTGCTCAATTCCCTGGGGGGAGAACACGAGACAACTCAACGGCTGACAGGGGACCTCGGCCTCTGAGACGGCCCCTGCCTTCTCAGACGGCCGCCGCTGCAGAAGGGAGGGGCGAAGGAAAATGGGCATGCAGATTGGAGGGAGCGACGACGAGAAATAAACGCTTCACCAAATCACATCAGACGCGACCCACGAGTCGGCCCGTGCCTGGGCAAAACCCTGATCATTCGACCTTGCGACCGACTGAACGTCGCAGGAAGCCACGAAACGAGCCAAAGATCACACCTCCCTGCTGAGTTACCCAGGCCAGACCGACATGTCAGAGCCCTGGGGTCCGACACCCGGCGAGAGCGCCCAGTGTGACAACAATCGCAACGCCAAGGGCCCGACAAGTGGCCCAGAGACCGAAATCGAGGCAACATGCCAGAATTGAGCAATCATACCGTCTGAGATCTAGGGGCCGCAGAAGGACGTATTCATACGATGTCAGGTGCTTTTGTTGGAGGCGCACGTCCGACCCGAACAGATCGCGCACCAATCTTGTAGCAGGTCGCTTCCCGAACGGTACGGCCAGAAAGCGCCCGCCACGGAGCTTGTACGATCAGACGACCGAGCGTGCTCGTCGCCGTTGGGGGTCGGCGCAGATAAAACATATTCGTATGTTTGTTCGAGGAGAGCACTTGCAGTGGGGGTGCGCATCAAGAATTGAGGGATGAAATTATCCGGGCGAAAGACCCAACCATATGCAGTTGTGAATACCGCAATTGTGGATACCATCTTCGCCCGCGCTCCCTATGTGGCCACGGCTTCCAGCCGGAGCCCGACATGCTCAGGAACACGTTCGTGGCCGTCTTCGCGGGCGCCGACGACGACAAGGACGGCGTCCCTCTCACCGAGGAGCAGAAGCAGGAAAGGGCCTTGAGAGCACTGAGGGAGGAGGTGGCGTTGCACGTCGACAAGGCGGAGTACGACGCCCAGGCGCGGTTGTTGAAGCAGCACAACTATGGGGCCACGATCCTCGTGAGGGGTGTGCCGAAATGGCCCGAGGCCGCCATGCGAACCCTGCCACTGGAGCCTTCGGTGGAGCTCCAGTGGGGCCACGGTCCTCGTGAAGGGTGTGCCGAAATGGCCCGAGGCCGCCATGCGAACCCTCACTGGGGCCTTCGGTGGAGCTCCCTATGGGGCCACGATCCTCGTGAGGGCTGTGCCGAAATGGCCCGAGGCCTCCATGCGAACCCTGCCACTGGCGCCTTCGGAGGAGCTCCCTATGGGGCCACGATCCTCGTGAGGGGTGTGCCGAAATGGCCCGGGGCCGCCATGCGACCCCTGCCACTGGCGCCTTCAGTGGAGCTCCCTATGGGGCCACGATCCTCGTGAGGGGTGTGCCGAAATGGCCCGAGGCCGCCATGCGAACCCTGCCACTGGGGGCCTTCGGTGGAGCTCCCTATGGGGCCACGATCCTCGTGAGGGGTGTGCCGAAATGGCCCGAGGCCGCCATGCGAACCCTGCCGCTGGGGGCAGTCGGTGGAGCTCCCTATGGGGCCACGATCCTTGTGAGCGGTGTGCCGACATGGCCCGAGGCCGCCATGCGAACCCTGCCACTAGGGCCTTCGGTGGAGCTCCCTATGGGGCCACGATCCTCGTGAGGGGTGAATGGCCCGAGGCCGACATGCGAACCCTGCCACTGGCGCCTTCGGTGGAGCTCCCTTTCTGGGTCCACGATCGTCGTGAGGGGTGTGCCGAAATGGCCCGAGGCCGACATGCGAACCCTGCCACTAGGGCCTTCGGTGGAGCTCCCTATGGGGCCACGGTCCTCGTGAGGGGTGTGCCGAAATGGCCCGAGGCCGCCATGCGAACCCTGCCACTGGCGCCTTCGGTGGAGCTCCCTTATGGGTCTACGATCGTCGTGAGGGGTGTGCCGAAATGGCCCGAGGCCGCCATGCGAACCCTGCCACTGGCGCCTTCGGTGGAGCTCCCTATGGGGCCACGATCCTCGTGAGGGGTGTGCCGAAATGGCCCGAGGCCGCCATGCGAACCCTGCCACTGGAGCCTTCGGTGGAGCTCCCTATGGGGCCACGATCCTCGTGAGGGGTGTGCCGAAATGGCCCGAGGCCGCCATGCGAACCCTGCCACTGGGGGCCCTCGGTGGAGCTCCCTATGGGGCTACGAAACGCTGTGCTGGGTGGGTGAAACGCAAGGAGGAGGGGGAGGAGGAGAGGAGGAGAGGAGACGCGGGCCACCGTCTCTTCAAAACGAGGACCCAACAGCACAGGATGGTTGGGAAAAACGACCCTACCCTGGGTTACAAGTGCGTGGTCTGTGAACCGCCTGGGAACCCCCAAAGCCTAGAGCCGCCAGGACGCGGCACATCACGCAGGGTTTCCCCTGTCAGCCCACAGAAGTTTCAGCGCACAGCGCCTCGTAAACCAGGGTAGGGACGTTTTTTTCTATGCCCTTGAAAGAAACCAGATGCTTTTCGTCAGAATATCCTGGGTTTCTTCGCTCCTCGCGCTGCGCGGTGACTTCCCGCAACCGTTGAAGGAGCTGCTGCGTTCAGGGTGCTCCACGTTTCCCCTCAGGTGCACCTCGCGCACGGGTTCTCAGGGTTGGATGTCTTGCGAGGGTTTCTTGCCGCCGTGCCCGCACTGTATCCTATTGGGAGGAAGGGGTTGGGAGGATCAAGGGCATGAGCAACAGCATCCGAATGCAATGAACGACACCTTCGTCCGCCTACGAGTAAAGATACACCCCAGCTTCTCCCAGCCCCAGCCTCCCAACTCGATCGTTGTCTTCCTGACCGTTCGGTGCTGAATCTTCGGGTGCTGCTAGAAGTACCCCTGGCCCAAGGTCCCCCCAGCTTTTCGCTCCATCTTGGAGCCCCTGGGGCCCTCTGGGCCTCGTGAGGGGTGAGATGAAGGCCGCTTGGGGTATCCCGAGAATTCTGGGAGCACCCTGGCCCAGGGGCCCCTCTAGCAACACCCGAAATCGGCGCCCAGCCCGAGCTGCGGGGGCGCCGCCGCGGGCGCGGGGGCGCTGGCGGAGGAGCTGCAGGCCCGCGGGGGAGGAGGAGGGAGGAACGAGGAGGAGGAGAAGGAGGAGGAGGAGGAGGAGGAGGAGGAGGAGGGGAGGAGGAGGAGGAGGGAGGAGGAGGAGGAGGAGGAGGAGGGAGGAGGAGGAGGGAGGAGGGAGGAGGAGGGAGGAGGGAGGAGGAGGAGGAGGAGGAGGAGGAGGAGGAGCACCAGCTTGCGATAGCTTTTCCGGATCTCGGCGTCGTCGGCCCTGGAGGTGCACTCCAGCGCGGCGTAGTAGTCGGGAGGCGGGGTGGCCACCGGGGGGGGCGGCGGTGGCCTCGGCGTGGCTGCCACGAGGCATGTCCTCGTGCCGCTCTTGCGCCTGCTCCTGCGCTTGCTCCTCCTTCTCCTCCTCCCCCCTCCTCCTCCTCCTCCTTCCTCCTCCTCCTCCTCCAACTTCTCCAACTCCTCCTGCCATCCTCCCTCCTCCCTCTCCTCCCCCCTCCTCCCTCCTCCCTCTCTTCCTCTTCCGGGAGCGGCGCCGGAGGTGCGGCCAGGAAGTCCAGCGCAGATCCGAGAAGTCCGCGCGGACCTTCGGACATTTCTATGTGTGAAGTTGGTCCGTTCACCGCACTCCATGAAAACAATACACACTCCCACCACCACCAAAATTAAATAAAATGTCGTTCCCAATGGCCAAGCCCCCCGAGCTGGTGGCACTCCGTTCCGGGCACTCTCATGGGGCGCTCCTGGAACGGGGTGCCACCAGCTCGGGGGGGGGGGAGCGGCCAGCCCCCCTCTGGTGGTGGTAGCTCCTTCTTCTCTGGTGAGCACTGACATCCTGCCCCACGCGTACACCCGCCAGGAGGGCGGAAGGTGTTCGGGGCCGAATCGCCGCCCTGCGAAGCTCGTCAACTCGTTCACTTCTCGCCCTTCCCTCCGCTTCCCGCTCCGCTCCCTTCCTCCGCTCTGTCCCTCTCTCTCTCTCTCTCTGCCTCTCTCCGAGAAATCTGGGGCCCAGCGCCGATCCGAGAAATCCGCGCGGAGGTCTGGGAGTTTCTGTTCATGCAGTTTTCCACTCAACTGCGGCGAGGTTCTGAATAAGGAATCAAGGGTCTTGAAGCCCGTGGAACTCCAATCGTGAATTGGCCATGGATATTGCCGCCGCCCTCATCGGATAAGGAATACTCTAGGATCTGAAGCCTCCTCAGCACATTCCTTCACGAACGCCCCTACCCCCGACCCCCGACGTCATGTTTTTGCTCGTAGTATCGACCTCCAGAGGTCTCGACCCATTCCCAGGGACCGGTCTCCATCCTGAGTCGTTATTGGATGGCCCCGGATCCCGGCGAGGCCCCTCAGGGGCCGAAAACACCGAAAAACCTCCCGTCAGGACGCTGTCATGACCCGAGCCCCGGCATGAGACGCCCTGATCTTTTCCATGCGGGATTCCTGGAAGTCACGGCTCTTTCCCCGGGGCCCGTCCTTCATCCAGAGTCGTTCTCTGGCGGCCCCGAGGCCCTGCGGGGGCCCCCCGAGGCCGAGAGTGGCCCCAAACCTCCCGCCCTGCTTCTTGCTGCGACGCGATCCTGTCTGGGAGGCAATCTGGGTCTGACGCCCCTTGGGCGCATCCTCCAGCGAACGCCCCCGTCAGCGCCCCTCTAACGGGGACTCCACGAACGGACACTTAGGCCAGCGACCCGGCGAAGCCAATCCTCCTCGATGTGGACAACGCTGCAATGCCAGAAGGAGGCCCTAAAGAGGCAACTTTCGGCAATCTTTCAAAGTACCCGTCAGTGAGTCATTACCCATTGCGGTGTCGCTGACCCCGCCGCGCACGCCCGACGCCAGGGGGGCCGTCGACGGCAGCCGCGCGCTGGGGCGGCGGCGCAGCCGCGCCGGCCGAGGGGTCGCCGCCGCCTGGTGAGTCGAAGCCGTGGCGGCGGTCCTGCGGCTTCGCCGCCGCCAGCCGTCGGCCGTCGTGAGCCCGACGACCACGACGACCACGACAACGACGACCACGACGACGACCACGAAGACCACGACGAGGACGACGAGGACGACTACGACGACGACCACGACAACGACGACCACGACGACGACCACGACGAGGACGACGAGGACGACTACGACGACGACCACGACGACGACCACGACGACGACCACGACGACGACCACGAAGACCACGACGAGGACGACGACCACGACGAGGACGACGACCGCGACCACGAGCACGACGAGGAAGACGACCACGACCACGACGACGACCACAAAGGCCACGTCGAGGACGACGAGGGACTACGACGACGACCACGACGACGACAACAACGACCACGACGACGCCAACGACGACGATTACCACGACGACGACGACGACGAAGACGACCACGACGACGACGACGACGACGACGACGACGACGACGACGACGACGACGACGACGACGACGACGACGACGACGACGGTGTCGGTCAGCGTCGCCGCCGCCGCGCTGGCGTCGGCTGCGGCCGTCGTCGGCGTCCTGCCCTTGGGTGCACCCAGGATGTCCAGGCGGGCCCCCACAGACTCCAGAGCACCCCTTACGAGGCCCCAGGGGCCGCAGGCGCTCCAACCTGAAGCGAGAAGCCGGGGGCACCTTCCAGGTGCCTTAGCACCTTTAGCAACACCCGAACGGAAGGGCGGGGCGGGAGCCGTACATGCGGTGGCTTCCGGAAACTCAGGACCCCCAAATGCTTCCATCTCTCGAATGCCTCCTCCTCCTCCTCCTCCTCATCCCCATCCTCTTCTTCTTCCTCCTCCTGTTCCTCCTCCTGATTCTCCTCCTTCTCCTCCTCCTACTGCTTCTGCTCCTCCTCCTCCTCCTCCTCTTCCTCCTCCTCCTCCTCCGCCTCCTCCGCCTCCTCCTCCTCCTCCTCCTCCTCCTCCTCCTCGCCATCATCCGCCGGCTTCTGGCGTCGGAGGCAGCGTCGTTTTACTTCCGTGGGCTTCTGCCTTCCTTCCGCCATCTTCAGCCGAGGAAGATGGGGAATCCACAAGGTACCGATACCCAGCACCCCGCATTTGCGGATAAGAGTGAGGGGGCGGCAGAAACGTCGGCAATTTGCGAGGCTCTGAAGAAGCCCGCCGCAGGCGTTTAACTTTGGAGAATTATGCAACGAGCCCGCCGCAGGCGCCAATTTTTTTTCGCCTACGTAATGTGGGTCGCGGGGTGGGTCGCGGGTGGGTCGGGTCGGTACCGGGTGGGTACCGGGCGGGTCGCGGGTGGGTCCGGGGTGGGTCGCGGGCGGGTTGTGGGGTGGGTCGCGGGTGGGTCGCGGGGTGCGTCGCGGGTGCGTCGCGGGAGGGTCGCGGGTGGGTCGCGGGCCGGGTCGCGGGCGGGTCGCGTGCTGGGTCGCGTGCTGGGTCGCGGGGGGGACGACGACAACGACAAACAACAAACAACAAACAACAAGCAACAAGCAACAAGCAACAAGCAACAACAACAACAACAACAACAACAGCAACATCAACAACAACAGCAACAGCAACAACAACAAGCATCAACAAACAACACCAACAACAACAACAGCAGCAACAACAACAACAACAATCATTTTACCCGAACGCTCAGTGTTCTCACCAGTGCCAGGGTTTTCATGCGACGCGAGACAATACCCCCACTTCGTGGGGGGGCAGTTCAAGCTCTACCAAATATCCAAACGACTCTTCGCGACCACCCAAACCCAGCTTCCCGCCCTATGACGTTGGGACACTTCACTTCGTGGCGTGCGGACGACCGTGGCTACTACACTGGCGTGGGGTACACACCCACAGAACTTGGTCACTTATTCGGGGCGCGCGTGTGCCCAGCATCCTGCAATTGTGACATACAATACATGACACAGACAGACAGAGAGAGAGACAGAGAGCAGACAGAGAGAGAGACAGAGAGAGCGGAGTTGGTCACATTTTTGGGGCAAGTTCCTGAGATCGTCGTGTTTTTTGTTGGTCTTGCGCGCGCGAATGTCCACTTTACTTTTTTTTGCAAGGGAGTATTGAAATTTGATTATGTTAGAACAAGAAAAAGTAGCTCGCGCGAGCTCATGTAACATAAATGTTGAAAAACCATTGGTTTTGTGGGAGTCGGACAGCGCGCGCGGGATGAAATTTGGACATTTTTTTTTGAAAAACCATTGGGTTTTTGATGTTTTTATGTTGAAATCGTTACGAAACCTAAGGTTCTGGAAGGATTTCGTCTTGCGCGCGCGAATGTCCACTTTACCTTATTTTTTGCAAGGGATTATTGAAATTTGATTATGTTAGAACAAGAAAAAGTAGCTCGCGCGAGCTCATGTAACATAAATGTTGAAAAACCATTGGTTTTGTGGGATTCGGACAGCGCGCGCGGAAGGACATTTTGACAATTTTTTCTTAAAAAACCATTGGGTTTTTGATGTTTTTATGTTAAAATCGTTACGAAACCTAAGGTTTTGGAAGGATTTCGTCTTGCGCGCACGAATGTCCACTTTACCTTATTTTTTGCAAGGGATTCTTGCAATTTGATCAAGTAAGAACAAGAATTTTCATTTTCTATTGTTTTTTGCAAGGGAAAACGAGCGTCAACAAAAAACCGGATCCGGAGCTCATCCACTTTTCTGAAGCTTTCGAGAAAAAATGATGAAAATGTAGCTGCGGCCTAGGCGCGGCGCAGAGGTCGCGCACCAGGGGTCCCAACAATAATAATTCTTTAGAAGGAATAATGTTCAACGACAACAACAACAACAACAACAACAACAACAACAACAACAACAATTACTAGCACGTGGGGACACTCCGTTCTCACCAGTGCCAGGGTTTTCATAGGAGGCGGGCAATACCCCCACTTTGTGGGGGGGCCGGTTCAAGCTCTACCAAATTTCCAAACGACTCTTCGCCACCACCCACACCCAGCTTCCCGCCCTATGACGTTCGGACACTTCACTTCGTGGCCTGCGGACGACCTTGGCTACTACACTGGCGCATGGGTACAATGACTTGTTGTGGTAACATTTTCTGTAAGCTAGCTTAGTATACGACTTTTCCCCCTGCAATTGAAGATTTCGGCGTGCGCGCGCGAAGAAAAAACGAATGTGTCCCATATGGTATTATTTGACAGGGATGATGGCCCTGGCAGGCGCGCAACCGTTGTTGCAGAAGTTCGAAGCACGTGAAAAAGTTGCTCGCAAGAGCCCGTTTGACAGAAATGTTGAAAAAGTATTGGGTTTCCTAAGAAATCCGCAAGAGCGCGCGGGATGAATTTTTGAAACTTTTTTTTTTGAAAAACCATTGGGTTTTTCATGTTTTTATGTTAAAATCGCTACGAAAACTAAGGTTTTGGAAGGATTTCATCTTGCGCGCGCGAGTGTGCACTTCGTGTCATTTTTTGCAAAGGATTCTTGAAGTTTGGTTATGTTAGAACAAGACATGTCATTTTATATTGTTTTTTGACAGGGAAAGCGGGCGTCAACAAAACAACCGGATCCGGACTCCCCCGTTTTGCCTGAGACTTCCTCACGAAAATGATGAAAATGTGGCTGCGGCCTAGGCGCGGCGGGGGGGGCGCGCACCAGGGGTCCCAACAATAATTATTCTTTAGAATTAATAATGTTCAACAACAACAACAACAATCCGCACCGCAGAACCTCACCGTTCGGCCCCCTCACTCTGACCACTACTCCCCGGACCTCTCCCGGGGTGCATTCTGACCAGCATTTCACAGCGAATCCAGCGGTGGCGACGAGGGCCTCCGAGGAGGCCCGAAAGGGGGGAAAACGATAGGAGGGGCCAACGTGTATTCTGACGAGAATTTCACAGCGAATCCAGCGGTGTCGACGAGGGCCTCCGAGGAGGCCCGAAAAGGGGGAAGGGTAGCGGTATGGGCACCTTCTCCTCCTCTGACCTTCCGCCACCCGCCGCCGAGAAGAGACGACAAGGGATGGCAACTCCTTCGATCCTCGAGGGTGAGGCCCTCTCTGGAGCGGCTTATGTTCACACTGAGGCGCGCTGGCCTCTGGCAGAGGCCAGCACACCTCAGTGTGACATAGTTCGTCAACGTAGCGACCGAAGCGTAGTGACATAGTTTGTCAACGTCGCACGCTCGCGAACCTATCCTGGGGATGCCCACTATCCGCCACCGCGCCCGCCCTTTTCAGACAGATTCGGGGCGATTTGCGGGCCTCCTGGGCGGTCTCGGACGCCCGGAAGCTTGAGGAACAGATCATTTCAAAAGTCATACAACAACAAATGAAAGTCAATATTTGTATGCGTGTCGGGACCCACTTAGGGGGTCTGCTTTGGGTCGTCTTCGGGCGTCTGCTGGGTGTCTGGGGCCTCTAGGGGCCCTCGGGGGGCCGTTCAGCCCTCCTGACGGATTTGGTCCCGCTGCCTAGGTCCGGCGGCGGCTTCCGGGAGCTCACGAGAGTCCTGGGGGGCCTCCTGCAGGGGCGTCCAGGGGGCCCCGGGGGCCAAAGATCTCAGGGTCCGGTTTTGGGGCGGAGATTGGGGGTCCACCCCGTGGCTTGCAAAAACATACAGTCGGGCCGTTGACCCAAGGAACCCTAAATAAGGAACGAAGCCCCTTTTTTCGATGAAATGAGCTTTGATTCCCTACGGCGAACTGCGACACGAAGAAGGAACACGGAACCCCACCCCAACGAGAAGGGTTCCTTCTTCAGCGCACCGACTGTTGGATTCCCCATATTTTCCCAATATTTTCCTATACTTTCTGGGTTTTCGTCTACCCCCCCAATTCCCATATTTTCCCACATTGTCTAAGGAATCGACGATTACTTGTGTCTGTATAATGTGTCATTGTTTCCTCCTGATCCTCATCCCTCCGCCATCCGGGCCTCTTCTTCGGGGCCTGGGAGGCGCGTGCTCCTCCTCTTCTGCGCTCTCTCGTTCCAACCACACCCAGACCTCGCCATCGCTCGGGCGTCCATTCCACGTGCGCGTTGCGACTTCGCGCGTGCTTTTTGTTGCAAGGTGGTCCAAGATGCTCCTCGACGAGGAAGCGCACACGTCCGAGCAAGAGACAGAGTTCGGTGGCAACTCATGGGAGCCTCCCACACCATCTTGTCGGCTCTTGCGAATCGACGCTAGTCGACGCCAAATCGACGCTGAAACGGTGCTAATCGACGCTAACCGACGCTAAAGCCACGCTGTCGCATCGACTCCCAGACGGCAATCGGCGCTAAAGACGGGATTTAGCCGATATACCAGGCTTCCATGACTTGCTAATGCGGGATGACGATTAATGAAAAACTTGGACAGAACGATTAAAACATAGCTTTCTGCTATTTCTGCACAACTTTCTGACTGGAGGAGAACGATAAAAAATAATTTTCCGGCCCGCAGCCGGTTATTTCTAATCGTCATCCCGGGCGCCGCCGCGTGAACACGACCCCCGGTCATTTATTAATCGTCATCCTCCATTACCGAAAACGATGCCACGAGACAGAGCACGCCCAGCGCCATGCCTCCGCCCGACGACGACACCCGCCGGGGCGACGGCGAGAGCGCCCACGATGCGGCTCTCCCCCGCGGTCCTTGACGGCCGCGGCCGCGCCGCCAGCCGCGGCCGTCTCCGGCGGCGCGCCGGGGCCACCGCGGGCGGCGGCGACCTTTGGCTCGGAAGCTCGGCCCCGCTCCCAGACGTGCACGCGCCTTGGAGAAACCAGGACGGAAGGTTTTGGCCACGTTCGGCCCCTGGGAGCCCTCCCCGGGCCTCGGGACCGTCGTCGCCGTCGTCGCCGTCGCCGTCGTCGTCGTCGCCGTCGTCGTCGCCGTCGCCGTCGACGTCGCCGTCGCCGTCGCCGTCGCCGTCGCCGTCGCCGTCGCCGTCGCCGTCGCCGTCGCCGTCGTCGTCGTCGTCGTCGTCGTCGTCGTCGTCGTCGTCGTCGTCGTCGTCCTGGCGGCGGCGGCGAGCAGGTGCGCCGCCGGCGCGGGTGGGGCCTGCGCCGCCGCCTCGTGCGCCGCCTGCTGCGCCCCGCTCGCCTGGTGCGCGGTGACGTTGGCCTCGGGCTGCGGCGAGCGCGCGCGCGGGGCCCGGGCGGCCTGCGCTTGGCGGCGAGGGGCCGAGTGGGACGCACAAGGGCACAGGATCACCTGGACGAGGTTATGAGCGCCTCCTCCTCCTCCTCCTCCTCCTCCTGCTTCTCCTCCTCCTGCTTCTCCTCCTCCTCCTCCTCCTCCTCCTCCCGCTCTCTCTCCTCCTCCTCAGCGCCCTCTGGAAAGACGCGGCCAAGGGCAGGGTCTTGTTAAACACCAACGTCCACGAGCATCTACTCAGCAGGGTGGTGAGCTCGACGATGGCACGCACACCCCAGCAGAATCCAGACCGCACTATGAGCGACAAGGGCCGGCTGATATGTGACGGCACCGTGCCCAACGAGAGCTGCCCGAAGGGGGGCGATAAATGGGGGGGGAGAAAGGTGCCCTTTTTCGGGCCCCGTCAACCCCCCTTCTGAGCCCGGCAGGGCCCCTTACGAGTCCTGGAAGGCCTTTTTTCGGCAGCCCTCCCCCCCCATGCATCGCCCATCACGCGCCCCCTCCTCCCAGGGGCGTGCGTACGGGAGGGTTTTGGCAGGTCTCGGCCTCCTGGGGCCCATACCAGGCCCCAGGACGGACTCAGGGTCTTGGCCTCCGTGGGCGCCTTGCCAAGTCTTTGACGGTCTGACTTCTTCGGTCCGACCGCGCTTCCTCGAGTTCGGCTTCCGGTAACATGCCCGTCTCGTAATCTATCGTTTCCCGAGCGGTATGGCCAGACATCGCCCGCCACGGAACTTCTACTCTAAGATGTCTCGGCAAGCACGGAGTACTAGTACAAGTGCTGGGGTGATGCCGACGGAAAACCGAAGCTCGATCGAGCACCCAAGGATCCAAGGTATTAAATTAACCTGCGACGCACCCAACAAATTTGCACCAAGTGGCAAGAGGAGTAGGCCAATACCAATAGGAACAACGACACAGGCGCGGCGATTTGTTGTGTAAGCTACATGGGATGCGCAATGTTGCGCGACTCACAGGACAGCGATCACACGGACGAATATTTGGACCGCAGCAGCATGGAGAAGGTGACAGGTGGACTACGGTGCCGATGAGAGTGGCGGGAGGAAACAGAAGAGTCCCGCTGCTTTCAATAGCTGGCTAAGCATGCAGCGATGCCTGCGACATATCGCCGCAGCGTTCCACAGGATCATACCTGTTCATAGGTAGTGCAAGAAGCCCCCCCAGCAGCCCTCGAACGTGGCGACAGTTTCGCAGATCCCAGCACCCCACGGATGGCGAGATCTAATCTGAATCTGCGGCGAGTGCCCACTATGCTGGCCCCCCAGCAGCCCTCGAACGTGGCGACAGTTTCGCAGATCCCAGCCCTCCACGGATGGCGAGGTCTAATCTGAATCTGCGGCGGGTACCCACTATGCTGGCCCCCCAACAGCCCTCGAAAGTGGCGACAGTTTCGCAGATCCCAGCCCCCCACGGATGGCGAGGTCTAATCTGAATCTGCGGCGGGTACCCACTATGCTGGCCCCTCAGCAGCCCTCGAAAGTGGCGACGACTTCGGAGATCTCAGCCCCCCAGGGATGGCGAGGTCTACTCTGAATCTGCGGCGAGTAACCCACTATGCTGGCCCCCCAGCGGCCCTAGAAAGTGGCGACAGCTTCGCAGATCGCAGCCCCCCATTGATGGCGAGGTCTACTCTGAATCTGCGGCGAGTAACCCACAATGCTGGCCCCCCAGCGGCCCTAGAATGCGGCGACCGTTCCGCAGATCGCAGCCCCCCAGGGATGGCGAGGGCAAGCCAGGTAAAAGGCAGGAGCAGAGAGGAGAGGAGGAACGAAGACAGAAGCGAAGAAAGAAGTTGGGAAGAGAGGAGGGAGGCGGGAGAGGCGGTTCGCGACCGAAGTGCTCTATTCAGTACGAGTATCCAACGCAGGAGGGTTGGGACAAAAGCACTAGGGGCCCTGAGATCTGGGCGTCGCCATTTTCCCGCAACAAGCGTTTTCGCTTGGACTCGGGCTCTCGCAGATCGATCCGGCTCGAAAAATGAAAGAGGACATTTGGAAGGTTGTTTGACTATTTTTGGTGTATTTTAAATTTGTCGTCGAGAACTCCCCCTGTAGGGTGACAGACCCGACTTAAGAAAAGCAGTGCGGGCATTTTTCGCCGTGTCCGGGACCGTCAACAGAACCACTGAGGACAGACCTCTGGGGGTCCACGTCGTGGAACAAACCATGACGCCCGGGGTACGTAAGGGAAACTCGAAGGAGCACCGAAGACGAAGCCGTGACGGGGACAGCATCGCACCGGGACAAAAGGGGGATCTCTAACATCCGGCGGCTCTGGGGGGATGAGGCGGATCTCGGAAACCCTGAGCCCCAAAACGTTTTCATCTCTTGGGGACGCAATTCTCACTTCCGCCACCTTCCGCCGCCCGTCCGCCGGCCTCAGTCGGCGCCGGCAACATCGTTTTACTTCCGCCGACCTTCCGCCGCCGTTCCGCCGCGGAGGAGATGACAACTCCTTCTATCCTCGCAGGCAAGGTCCTTTTTGGATCTAGGGAAAGGGGTCGATGCTCGAGGGCCGAGGTTCGAGCCTTCTTGGGCCCCTTGGGCTTCCAGCCGTGGCCACGGCCAGACGTGGCTCGGAGACTCTGCCGGGAGATCCTCCTCCTCTTCCTCCTCCTACTCCTGCTCCTCCTCCTCCTCTCTCTCCTCCTCCTCCTCCTCCTCCTCCTCCTCCTCCTCCTCCTCCTCCTCCTGCTCCTCCTTCTCCTCCTCCTCCGCACCCCCCCCTCCTCTTCCTCCTCCTCCTCCTCCTCCTCCTCTCCTCCCTTTCTCCTCCTCCTCCTCCTCCTCCTCCTCCTCCTCCTCCTCCTCCTCCTCCGCACCCCCCTCCTCTTCCTCTCTCCTCCTCCTTCTTCTTTCCTTCCTCCCCTCCTCCTCCTCCTCCTCCTCCTCTCCTCTCCTCCTCCCTGGTCCTCCTCCTGCTCCTCCCCTCCTCCTCCTCCTCCCCCTCCTCCTCCTCCTCCTCCTCCTCCTCCTCCTCCTCCTCCTCCTCCTCCTCCTCGACCTGATTCTCCTGCGGCAGATCTTCCTCGGCTCGCGAGGCTCCAGGGGCCACCAAAAGGGCGGGGCAGGGGCACCAGCGGAGTCCTCTTCACGCCCCCGCCCCCGACCTGAGGGCAGCGGGGAGCGGGGCCCGAGAGGGAGGGCAGGGAGACGTGCGACGGGGGGGGAGGATGGGAGAGGGGATGCAGCGGGGAGAGGCGAGAGGAGACGAGCGTACGAGGGGGGCCCAGTTTCCTCGTCCTGGGCCTGGCGGGGGCGGCGCAGGCTGGGAAGCGGCGCCGGCAGTGAACAGGCTAGCCGTGCGGGAGAGGAGAGAGGAGGGGGAGCCGGGGGAGGAGGGCGACGGAGGATGATGAAGAGAGGGGGAGACAAGGACGAGGACGAGGAGGATGAGGAGGGGGAGTGGGAGGAGGAGGAGGAGGAGGAGGAGGAGGAGGAGGAGGAGGAGGAGGAGGAGGAGGAAGAGGAGGAGCAGGAGGAGGAGGAGAGGAGGAGGAAGAGAAGGAGGAGGAGGAGGAGGAGGAGGAGGAGGATGAAAAGGAGGACGAGTGGGAGGAGGAGTGGGAGTAGGAGGAGGAGGAGGATCAGGAGCAGGAGCAGGAGCAGGAGCAGGAGCAGGAGCAGGAGGAGGAGGAGGAGGAGGAGGAGGAGGAGGAGGAGGAGGATGGGGGCCGACGACGACCACCACCGCGAGCACGACCACGATTCGACCACATTGCCACGATTAGACCACGCGCACAACCACATTGCCACGATTAGACCACGACGGCGACGGCCCAGCCCCATCGGGAGCCTGGAAGTGCCCCGGCGGCATGGCCTGCTCGGCGGGCTTGGAGAGGTGGGCGGGGCGATGGGGGTGCGGGCTTCCGAAGAGAAGGCTGGGCGGCTTCTCGGGAAGGCGCAGAGCGCTGCTTTTTCCGAAACGGCGCTAGCAGGGTGCAGGGGACTCCTTAGAAGCCCCCTGCCTTCTTAGAAGGGCGCAATCGCGCTATCGCTGGAGACTTCCTCGCGATCCACGCAGGCCGCACGCTTCGGCAGCCCGCCTGCTCCACCTGGCCGCCTGGGCCACGCCGCCTGGGGGTCTGCCCGCCCCTCCCCCCCCGAAGACCCGATATGATTTCGAGCCTCGGGGCCCCAGGACCCTCGACCCTCGGGCACACGCTAACATGGATCAGGGGTCCGTGGGTCTGGCGCGTGGTCGCCAGGTCCGTGGACTGGGGAAGGCGACATCGAAACATGGCGCCAATGCCGCCCGACTGGGTGGAGGAGCGCGCCGATTCAGGATGGAAGCGGACACCGTCGCTAATGCACGCGCCTTAATCCATATCTGCGCTTCCTGAAGCCCCGGCCGGCGTCCCGTCCCGAGCCGTGCTCTCGGCGGCCTCGGGCCCCTGAAAACGGCCCCGCAGGGGGGTCGAGAGCGGAGCTCGCCACCACGTCAGGCTCTGCATCTTCGAGCCTCGGGGGGTCTTGCCCCCTCGCCCTGCCCCCTCCAATGCGCCGCCAAGTTTGAGGGGGCCCAGGGACACACAAGTAAATGCACACAAATCCCAGGATTCCCCATCTGTTTCCATGTTTTCTGGATTTTCGTCTTCCCCCCCACTTCCCATATATTCCCAGATGTTCCTGGGAGTCGACGATTCATTGTGTCTGTGTGTTTTCTCCCTCCTGAAAGTTGAGGGGGGAACAGACGAGGGGGGCGAGCGAGCGAGCGAGCCACCAGTGCGGAGCAGCCTCCGGGCCGATCGAAGGCGAGGCGGGCGAGGGCGTGGCCTCGATCGGTACTGTCGCGTGCGGAAAGCACGCGCGTGCGCCGCGAGACAGGAAAGTACGCGTGCGGTCTGGAGGAGGACAGGGGAGGAATCCTTGCATTCGGCGTCCTCGTGCGCGGGTGACGCTGTGCTGCTGTGTGTGTGTGTGTGATCGTTCGTGCAAGTGTTTTGCTTCGGCCGTTGGCGCAGTCGCTCTTTCGCCTCGACCAGGTGATGACGTCTGGAGCAGTTTGTGCCAATTCAGTGCCATGTGGTGTTCCCAGGTGAGGGACCCCAGGCCGCCGAAATCGGTGGCTCCTCGAAGCCCCCCATCGTCGTGGCTTTGAAAAGCTGTTCAGGGCCTTTTGTCGCAAGGGTGCCATTCATCCTCTGGGATGTTTATGCAGCATCCTCGGTGGACCTTAGCTGTTCCGTCGCGGCCGCATCCGCGTCGAATCCATGTCGAATCCATGTCGGACTCGTCGGATCCGCGTCGAATCCGTGTCGAATCCGCGCCGAATCCATGCCAAGTCCACTTCGAGTCCGCATCGAGACCGCGTCGGGCACAAGAGAAGACACCAATGTGGGGGACAGGCGAGGCCCCGACGAAGATGCGACGTAAGGATGTGTGTGTGTGTGCGTGTGTGTGTGCGTGCGTGTGCGTGTGCGTGTGCGTGTGCGTGTGCGTGTGCGTGTGCGTGTGCGTGTGCGTGTGCGTGTGCGTGTGCGTGTGCGTGTGCGTGTGCGTGTGTGTGTGTGTGTGTTCCCCCCTTCGGCCAGTCTCCCAACCATGTCGCTGCCCCAGCATGGCTGAAAGGCAACGACGAGGAGGCACCAGCTCAGGGGGGGGGGCGGGGAACATCGACCTGGCATCGGCGATGCGTCGCCGCAGTCGGCAATAGGCCCCCGACAACGAACCCCGACGTTCCCGTGCGGGGTGGGCTAGCAAGCCCCCATCGGCAATCCGTGGGCGATCGTGATCAATGCCTCCACCCCTGAGCTTACCCTTACGTCGGGCCTGACCCTCTAAAGGGGGAATCTTCAAAAATAGTCAAAAAAATCAGGGGACTATGTTTGGAGTATTTTTCGAATATTGGGGGTATGCTTTGAGTATTTCCCTACCTAGGCTCTGCCTAGAGGGTTCTTACTTTCTTTGCTTCAAGGGGCGGGCAGTGTAGGCCGCCCCGGGCGGTTCCCCCAGTCCCCGCCCCGCGGTTCCCCCAGGTACGTCCCCTTAGCTTAGCGTTGCTTATCTCATCTTAGCTTAGCTTAGCTTAGTTTAGCTTAGCTTAGCTTCATCTTAGCTTCGCTTAGCTGTATCTTAGCCTAGCTTAGCTTAGCTTAGCTTAATCTTAGCTTCGCTTAGCGCAGCTTCAGCTTAGCTTAGCTCATCTTAGCGTTATATTAACTTTAGCTTAGATTTAGCTTAGCTTTACCTTAGCTTTAGCTTGGCTTTAGCTTAGCGTTAGCTTAGCGTTGGTTTAGCTTTAGCTTAGCGTTACCTGAGCTGTAGCTTAGCTTTAGCTTAGCGTTAGCTTAGCTTTCGTTTAGATTTAGCTTAGCTTGAGCTTAGCTTTAGCTTAGCATTAGCTTAGCTGTAGCTTAGCTTTAGCTTAGCTTTAGCTTAGCTTTAGCTTAGCTTTAGCTTAGCTTCAGTTTAGCTTCAGCTTAGCTTCAGTTTCGCCTTCAGTTTAGCTTCAGTTTAGCTTCAGCTTAGCTTTAGCTTGCTTAGCTTATCTTTAGGTTAGATTTACCTTAGCTTTACCTTAGCTTTACTTTAGCTTTAGCTTAGACTTAGCTTAGCTTTAGCTTAGCTTTAGCTTACCTTTAGCTTAGCTTTAGCTTAGCTTCAGTTTAGCTTCAGCTTAGTTTTAGCTTAGCTTTACTGTTACTACTGATGATGCTTTCCTAGGGGCTCCAATTCCTAGGTAGGGTCGCACTGGGATAATTCTCATATTTCGTCGAAAATCCCCGTGTAGGGGGTCACGCCCGACTTGAGCTTACCCCCCACCCCTTGACGTGGACCCCGAGACGAGGCAGCCTGCTCCAGGTCCGCCACCCACTCCGGCGCAGGCCCGGACGGCCTGGGCCTCGGAGGGTCTTCGCCGCCGCCGCCTTCGCCGGCACTACAGCAATATATAGGGAATCGAACTCTATACACCGACGCTTTTCCCGACCCTGCGCCGAAATTCGCACAGTAACGCGGATTCTGGTGTATACGGGATCCTGGTGTATACAATTTTCGTCGTTTCCCCGGGAAAACGTGAAAAAATATACACCACACCACCCCGACGTCGTCCCCGACCGTCAAACAAGTCCTGGGATTGAAAAGCCGCCCGCCACTGGTAGTGTATATGTGCCAGTTTCCGAAAAAGTTCTTGCTACAACAAATACCGGGGCACATTGGTTTGTCAGGGCCGCAGGGTGCCCTGAGCACGTGTGGGCCCCTGGGGCCATCGGGGAATAGGACACTTACGCGGGGCACCTGCTGGCGGGCCGGAATTCCTATCCGATGGCCTACTGCGACCGCGCCGGCATCGTCGCCGACGTCGTGGTCGTCGCCACCGCCGCCAGCCGTCGCCGCCGGCCGCCGCCGCCGCTGCCGCCGCCGCCGCCGCCATCGCCGACATCCTCGCCGCCATCGTCGTCGCCACGAGGACGGTCCAGCCGTCGCCGTCGCCGCCACCGCCGCCGTCGCCGACATCGTGGCCGACGTCGTGGTCGCCGCCGCCGCCGTCGCCTGAGATCTGGGCAATCCATCCTGTGGTGTTGGGTCCTCGCTTCGAAGAGAGAGCTCAACGCGTCTCCCACCTCACTCCCTCGCCTCTCCTCCTCCAATGCTTGCACACCTTTCACGCGTGTCGTGGCCTCATCGGAGCTCCACCGAAGGCCCCGGTGGCAGGGATCGCATGCGCCTCCTCCGCCCATAACGGCACACCACTGACACGTTTCCTGGCCCCATCGGGGACTCCACCGATGGCCCAAATGGCAGGGTTCGCATGCGTCTCCACGCCCGCCGCGTGTCCATGTCGGCACACTCCTCACACGCTTCGTGGCACCATAGGGGGCTCCACCGAATGTCCCAGTGGCATGGTTCGCATGCGTCTCCCCGCCCACCGCATGTTTATTTCATTACACCCTCGCACGATTCGTGGTCCCATTAGGGAGCGCCACCGAAGGCAAGGGTTCGCATGCGCCTCCTCGCTCAGCGCAGGTCCATTTCGGCACACCCATCACAGGCTTCATGGTCCCATAAGGGGGTCCACCGAAGGCCCCCGTGGCAGGGTTCGCATGCGCCTCCCTACCCAACGCGTGTCCGCTTCGGCACACCTCTCACACGTTTCGTGCACCCATAGGGAGCTCCACCGAACACCCCCCTGGCAGGGTTCCCATGCGTCCCCCCGCCCATCGCGTGTCCATGTCGGCTCAGCCCTCACACGTTTCATGACCCCAGAGCGAGCTCCACCAAAGACCCCCGTAGCTGGGTTCGCATGCGTCTCCCTGGCTACCGCATGTCAATGTCGGCACACCCCTCACACGTTTCGTTGCCCCACAGGATGCTCCACCGAAGGCCCCAGTGGCAGGGTCGCATGCCTTTGCCGCCCATCGAGTGTCCATTTTGGCACACCATTACACGTTCCGAGGCTTCCCAGGGGGCTCCAACGAAAACCTTAATGAAAGGACTCGAATGCGTCTCCCCACCCAACGCGTGTCCATTCCGGCACAGCCCTCACACGTTTCGTGGCCCCATGGGGAGCTCCACCGAAGGCCCAAGTGGCAGTGTTCGCATGCGTCTTCCCGCCCATCGCATATCCATTTCGACGCTCCCCTCACACGATTCGTGACCACAACGGGAGCTCCACCGAAGGCCCCCGTGGCAAGGTTCGCATGCGTCTCCACGCACACCGCGTGTCAATTTCGTAACACCCTCGCACGTTTCGTGGCCCCACAAGGAGCTCAACCGAATACTCCAGTGGCAGGGTTCACAATCGCCTCCACGCCCACAGCATGCCCATTTCGGCACACCCTTCTCCTCACGTTTCGTGCCCACAACGGGAGCTCCACCGATGGCCCCAAGTGACAGGGTGCGCATGCGTATCTTCGCCCACCCCGTGTCCATGTCGGCACACCCCTCACACGTTTCGTGCCCACAACCGAAGCTTCACCGAAGCCCTCATTGGCAGTGTTCGCACGTGTCTCCCCGCCCACCGCATGTCCATTTCGGCACGCCCCTCACACGTTTCGCAGCCCCAGTAGGGAGCTCCACCGAAGGCCCCACTTGCAGGGTCCACATGCAGCCCCCCGCCGCGTGACAATTTCGGCACACCGCTCACGCGCTACGTGGCCCACTCGGGGGCGAAACCACAAACAATTCCCACCAGTACATATATGGAAGGGACGTCCGCAAACCCGAGCCCAACCTGAGCCCAAAGCAATCTGTAATTCAGCGTCTTGACTGTCCACCAGGCGGTGCGTGGGCAAGAGCACGCACAGAAGCGTTGGAGCGCCCAGCGCCTTAGGGCAGCGCTGCTCTCGGGTGCTCTGGTCCCAAGGCTGCCAGCGTGGCCGCGACGGACCAAGAACATTGCCACCCTCTGTCATCCTTGTCAACAAAATGCAAAGCGCACGTTGCGGCAAAATTTGAAACATTTTCGGGCGCCCCGAGGTCATACTGAACTGCCGGACAGGAATGGCGGGGTGTCATCACACTGTCCGCTGAACGCAGGCCAGCCATCACTGTCAAACACCAATCAAACGTATTATGCTTGCCAGCGTAGACCCAAAACTGCGTTCTGTAGCAATATATCTTGAGCAATATATGTTGTGCAATCTGCGTGGAGCAATATTAGTGGTGCATTCTACTCGGTGCAGCATATTATGTGCAATCTCTGTGGTGAAACATACGTTGTGCAATCTATGTTGTGGTGAAATGTTTGTGGGAGCATTTCTGTGGAGCCCTATACGTGGCGCAACTTGAGGATGTCAAGATGTCAACTCCACTGCTCATGCAATCATCCCACCCATCCACCGGCAATTCGGTTCGCAAAACACATAAGGCGTCGATTGCGATGACTGGCCGCGGTGGTGCTGACAGCCGGAAACTGCCCAGCGCCTCTCGCAGGCCGCGCCGGCGCGCCAGCACTCCAGTGCGACTCGGTGACTCGGGCGGGCGTGGTATCATGGCGACGTCGGCAACGGCAGGCACGGCCATGATATTAGCGATGACGGTGGCGATGATGACGATGAGGACGGCCAGTCCAATGACGGCGCCGATGCTGGTCACGCCGATGACGATGATGGTGCCCACGTGTCGGTAGTGGAGTTTTTGGAAGGATTTCGACATGCGCGAGCGGCCGACGCGGGCGAGTGGCCCGCAATGTAGTAACTATTTGACAGGGGTCGTGCCCCCGCAGAAAGCGGACGAAGGCGTTCGAAGGCGTTCGACATGCGCGCGCGCGGCCCGCTTGGTCGCATGTGATGAGCATGTGGCAAACAAACTGCGAATTCACCAAGTATTCGCAAGAGCGCGCGTGCAAATTTATTTTCGGCTTTGAAAAATTGTGTAGCAAAACAATTGGTGCTTACATGATCTCGCCTAACTCGATCTTGAAATCCTTACGACACCTGAGGCTTCTGAATAATTCCGGCATGCGCGCGTGACGGCGCGCTTGTCGACTTCGTCATATATTTTGCAAAGGGTTGCTGAAGAAATGTTTGGATGAACGAATGTGCGCGCATAGTATTATTTGATAGGGATGCGAGGGGGAAGACAACAGCAACCCCTCGGATGGCATGAAGTCAGATCTAAAGCGAACGATGGGGCAGAGTCGTATGCAAACTGCACCAGTGCCCAAGGGGTGGCCAATAATTTTGAAAAGGGGGGTGCATCGCAATTTCTTTTTCTGAAAGGGAAATACATGTTGTGCACGCAAAGTTGTGCAAGATGTGTGGTGCAATTCGCGTGGTGCACTCTATCTGGTGCGCAGTCTATGTGGTGGCGACGAGGAGGCGATGGCGACAACATATCCGCCAGACAGACCCGCAGGCCCAGACGACGGGCGGGGACGAGGCGGCGACGGTGACAACATAGCCGCCAAACAGACCCGCAGGCCCAGACGAAGGGCGGCGACGAGGCGGCGACAGGGCGGCGACAGGGATAGCATAGCCGCCGAACCGATCCGCAGGCCCAGTTCCTTAGACCAAACATGAAACACCAAAGTGGAAGCACTGCTCTGGGAAATTGCGGGTGGGCAAGCACACACAATGACGACAACCCCGCTGTCATGTTGTAGGGGTTGTAACAGGGATGGTGGGGGGCCGACTTCTTGTCCGATGTGTGCTGTGGGTTGCGCGGGCGCACCATGCGCACTCTGCGCACGACTCGCACGTGGCGCACCTGGCGTGGTTGAGTTACGTGACCCACTGGGCGCGTCTAGCGCACGTGGCGCATCTGGAACACCATGCGCGTGGCACGCTAGGGCCTCTTGGGCACCTGGCGAACCTGGTGTGCGTGGCGCACCTGGCTCGTGCGGCGCACCTCAGGGGCATGGCGCACCTGGCTGAAGTCTGAGTTGGTTGTCGATGGTGCCTCCTGCCTTTGCTGGGACTCGGGTGCTACTCAAGTGCCCTGAGATAGTGGCGTTGCGATGTCTGGTTTTCACTGGGCTGCGGGCCCTGGGGCTCTCCCAGACCGATCCTGCCGGGGAAACAGAAAGATGGGGTGCAGGGCTCCGGTCGTGACTTCCCACGATTCGGCGGCGCGCCGAAGGGGAGACATGAGAGGGGGCAGGCCTTCTCGGAAGGCCCCCAAGCTTCTCAGAAGCCCTCCAGGCTTGTGAGGAGCCCTCCAGCCTGGCGAGGAGCCATCCAGCCTTGTGAGGAGCCATGGGGGCTTGTGAGGAACCCTCCAGCCTTGTGAAGAGCCCATCCCGACATAAACATAAACTTTTGGCGCTGCGCGCCAGGGGCGGCGCCGGAGGCGCGGCCGGGGGCGGCCCAGCGCGGATCCAAGAAAGCCGCGCGGAGCTCCAAACGTTTCTCGTCCTTCGACTGTGAGGGGCCTTGTGAGGAGCCCCCTGTGAGAAGGCCCAAAAAGCTTCCCAGAAGGCCAGGTGCCCTCCGAGCCGTCCGAGAGGGCCCACCCCCTCGGCCTTCCCCCGTGGGTGCGCCACCGAAGAGGTGGTCTGTGTCTCTTGTCGTGATCCACCTTTTCCTCGCCCAACTCCACCTCCTCCTCCTCCTCCTCCTCCTCCTCCTCCTCCTTCCCTTCCTCCCTTACTCCTCCTCCTCCTCCCTCCTCCCTCCTCCTCATTTCCCGCCTCCTCCTCCGACGTTGGGAACCAACAAATAGGAAACCACGAAACACATTTTCCTACAATTCCAATCGGTGAATGGACCGAGCAAACACGACATAGCGACCTGTAGGAAAGCGCCAGCCGCGCGCTCCCACAATGCCAATACCTACCTCGCCGTTGGCCCGTCTGCGGCTCCTGTCGTGATCCCCCACGGTGCTGCATCTGCTTCGCGCGACGCCCGATCTCACGGGAGCGGGCGGCTCACCGAGGCCGCGGCTGCCGCTTGAAGCCCATGATGTAATCCAGCACGCGGGCGGGCGTCGCGCCCTGGCCGGCCCGGGGTGCGCGGCTGTGCGCGCGCGTTCGCCACCAGTCTGCCCAGGCCCGTTCTCGAGGCTGCAAGTGGCACGCCGAAGTCCGATCGGGGCATCAGCGCCACCGGTGTGGAGTTCGAGCGGCGCTGCAACCGCCAGGATGGGTCCGTGCCCGTTCGCGGGGGCGATACAGGCAAAGCATGGCAAGGGAGCAGTCCGTGGACGGGGAACGTCACCCCATCCAATTCAGGTCAGGCCCTCGTGGACTAGGAGGGGGGGTTCTGGACGCTCTCGGAGGGGATATGTGACGTCTGGACATGGTTTCGCTTCATGAACACCGCAGGAGGGGAACAAGTAGGCAGAAGCAGCGGCAGCAGCAGAATTTCGTCACTATTCCATAGGACCCTTCGGGTCCTTCAAGATTTTTCAGGATCCAGCAATATATCCCAAACTTCCACGAGATTTCAATGGATTCCTTCGGATTCCTGGACTTCTTCAAGATTCCTCGGGGTGCGTGGTGACCTCTGAAGCTTCCTCATAATTGCAGCGGCCCCCATTCAGAACCAAGGCTTTCTGTGGGATCCGCAGGCGCTCCATTGTCCTTAAGGCTTACTTCTGACATCCAATACAGCATAATTGCGTTCTGTGGAATCCGGGGGCGTTTCATTTGTTGTTTTTGAAATTGAATACAAGATGGTATGTTTAGACTCCTGTGCAATTCAAGTTCTGTAGGGGTTCTCTGGTGCAAGTCAAAGCAAAACAAAAAACGTTGCATCCAAAGGCGCTTCCTCCTCCTTCGGAACCATTTTGGAAATTCGATGCAAACCACTTGATTCCTTGCGAAATTCAATACACAATAATTGTTTTATTTGGAATTTGGAGGTGCCCCGCGTTCCTGCTTTTGATTTGAACTTATGTTCCTGATACCAGGAGTGTCCCATTGTATGTTGGATCTGTCTTTTTCTTAAATGTAAATGTAAAACAACAAATAGTTTGGCTGGAATCCAAAGGCGTTCGAAGTTCTTCATGGGCTCCAACTGACATTCAACACGCTACAGGAACTGCTTGTGGAATCGGTGGGCGTTCAATTGTCCTTAGCGGTTCCATTTGCAATTCAGTGCGAATATACTTTCTTTCCTGAAATCGCGAGGCGTTCCATTTTCTGTTCTGGATTCATACAGAAAAACAAATACCACAAAAGGGTTTAGTGTGGAATGCGGAAGCGCCCCGCGTTCCCGATTGACTCTTTTCGAAACTCAAAACCAACCAACGGTTTTTTTTTTGGGAATCTGAAAGCGCTCATGTTCTTGGTGGGTTCTTTTTGACATCCGGTGAAATAGTAATGGTTCCTTTCCACATTCCGGAGGCCGTTCAAATTATTGATTCATATTGAAATCACTACGGAGCAATGATTACATGTGGAAGCCGGAGGCGTTCCAGTTTCCTTTTGGATCTGGCTTTCTCCGGGAGGCGATACATTTTCCTGATGGCTCATTTTTGGAATCCGATACACAACAATTGTGTTCCCTGGAATTCGGAAGCGCCCCGCTTTCTGTAGATCGACCCCTTCGAGAATGAATGCAAACAACAATTTTCTCTGGAATCCAGACACATAATATTTCGAATGGTCTCTCTTCAAGGTTTCCATACCAAACATGGGTCTTCCCTGAAAACCGGAGGCGCTCCGTTTTTTCTGTTGATTCCTTTTGACCTGGAATGTGAAGGCGCTCCATTGCACCTGAGGTTATCTATTGGAATGCGCGGCGCAGCTATGAGTTCCTCTGGGATCCAGAGGCGTTCCATGTCTTCATAGACCACTCTTGAAATTCAACACGCAACGAAACCAATCGTTCTCTCTGGACTCCGCAGGCGCTCAGGTCTCTTCATGGGTTCCTCCTGGAAGCAGACTAACACAATCTGGCTTCTTGAGCCCGGGCGCGCTCCATTTTCCTTGTGCATTTCTATTGACATTCTAGACAAACCAACGGTCTTCTCTAGAATCCGACAGAGGTTAGTTTGCCTTCTGGTTTCATTGAAATCTGACGCGGCTTCTTTTCGAATCCAGGGGGGTTCCGTTTCCCTTCATGCTATTGTTGGTCAGTCAAGGCGAAACAGAATTCATGCAGCTCAATCAAACCTGGTCTCAAAAACCACGTGTAGCCCGAGAACGAATACAATGATTATTCGTAGTAGTAGTAGTAGTAGTAGTAGTAGTAGTAACAGTAGTAGTAGTAGTAGTAGTAGTAGTAGTAGTAGTAGTAGTAGTAGTAAAAGCAATAGTAGTAGTCGTCGTCGTCGT